CCACCTGCTCAGGACAGGGTCTCTTCGGGGTCATCGCCCCCTCCCCCTCGCGGGCAATTTTGCTCTAGCTCTCAGCGCGGGCAAGGGCCGAGGGCGCTCGGCTGACCTCCAGGCCCTCGCGGCGCGTGGCCTCGCTGCTGCTATCCGCGGGCTGCCGCGCCCATGCGAGGTGAATCCCGTCGGAGCTGAACCCTTCGGGCGCCCCCTTGCGCCGAGGCATCTTCGCGGGGCCGTCGCGGGATGGCGCTCGCAGTGGCTCGGGCCGCCTGCCTGGCGTCGTCCGAGACGGGCCTGACGGGGCGCGGCCCGAAGCGAAAGCCCCCGGGCGCCTTCGCGCTGGCTTGGCAGAGGCTGCAGCCCCCGGCGCCGCCGTCGGCGCTGCGCGCAGGTCGCCCGAGCTTCCCGGGGGCGGCCGCGCTGACCGACGCCGCGGCGAAGCACCGGGCGGCCCGCTCTCGCAGGCTCGTGAGCCGGTGCCAGTGGCGCGGCCTGTCGTGGAGCGTGCCCCAGGATTTAGAGGTGATCTTGACGGTCTTCCTGGCGCGCCTGGTCTTTGGCGGCTTCGACGCCGCGACGGGCCGGGCGACCGCGGCGGCGGTTCGCCACCTGCTGCCGGCGCCGAGGCCGCCGCGGACGGCGCGAACGAGGGCCTGCAAGGCGCTGGGTGGCTGGATGACATTGAGGCCGCCGCGCATGCGGCTGCCGATCCCGCGGCCAGCGGCGATGGCGATCATCGGGGTGATGCTTTCGGTGGGCCAGATCCCGTTCGCGTTGTCCGTGATATTATCATTCGCGGGGTACTTGCGGTCGTCGGAGGCCTCCCGTCTGCGGGGCGCCTCCATTGCGCCGCCGAATCCTTTGGCTGGCGCGCGCTGCGGGAAGCGGGGGTTGGTGCTCGACCCCAACGAGGACGGTCGACTTGGGAAGACGGGCATCACGGACAAGAGCGCCGTGTTGGACCAGCCCGCGCGGTGGCTGGGCAGCGCTGAAGGCGGCTCGCCCAGGCAGCGCCCACCCGCGGCGCTTCGAGGTCGCGCAGGCGCGGCAGGCCTTCAACCAGGCCGCCGAGCGCCTCGGGCTAGAGGCTCAGCCGTCGTTGCACGTGCTTCGCCACAGCGCGGCCAGCGACGACCTGCTGGCGCCCGGGCGCGCGCTCGCGGAGGTGGAGGGCCGAGGGCGCTGGATCACGGACTGCTCGCTCCGCCGATATGCCAAGAGGACCAAGCTCCAGGAACGGATGAAATCGCCGTCGGAAGAGACCAGCGCCTGGCCTCGATCTTCGAGAACCCAGCCCGGCAGAAGCCCCCCCCGTGGAAAGCGCCTGCGATCGCGACATCATCGCCTCGTGGGCGTCAGAGACCGGCGCTGCCAGCCAGGTGGGCGGTCATTTGACTCGGGCGTTGACGACGGCCCTCAGGAACGCCCCAGTGAGACCTCGATCTGTCTTCCCGCGCTTCGGCTTCGCTTGCCGGCCAATCGCGAAGCGCATGCGCGCCGCCCTGTTCTTCGATCCCAACAGGCATCTTGGGCTTGATTGGTCTCGGCCCGCGGCGCGCCAGAGGATCTTGGGGCGGCTTCGGGGCCCGGTGGTCTTGGGCGTCTGGGCCTCTCCCGCCTCGGGCCCTGGCCCCCCCCCAACTCGGTCTCGGGATCTTTGGGGTCCGCTGGCTGCCATGATCTTCGAGTGCCATCGCGCCAGGGCCCCTGTGATTGTTGAGTGCCCTGCGCAGTCATCCCTTCATGTAATGACATATTTCAAACAAGCGCGCACCTTAGCCTCGCAATCGGATGAACAGAATCTTTGCCAGCGCGCGCACATTTTACCCAGGCGTACTATCGGGTGGGCTTGGTGCGCGGTGTCGCCTTTGCTTGCCGTGCGTCCGTTATGCTCGGACAAGAACGGTAGATGTTCTGGGCGACGGCTTTTTCATGCGAGGCCTTCCTCCTTGGATGAAGCTGGGGCCGTTCCGTTGCCATGAAAACGAGTTCCTGCGGGATGTTGTTTTTTGGGCCGCCAAGTGGTTGGCGAGCAGTGCCGGAACCCTTCGCGAAAACAGATTCTCGCGATTGCTCGGGATTTACGTAAGGGTGCTCCTGCATTGAATGCTAATGTTCAGTGAGTGTGTTCGGCCTGTGGCCATGGGTTGCAGGCGTGCTGTGTGCAGATTTATCGAGTGTGCCTACCGTGCTGGCACTGGCCCGTGCGCCCGCGTTCGTGCAAGATGAGACTGTCCTTCTCGCCCCCCTCAGCAACGCATGGTCTCTGGCGCAGGGAATGGAAGCGGATCGTCTAACTGCTTCCGAGTGTTTTGATCGTCGCAATGGAATGTGCCGCAACCACTGCGGCTCACGTTTCCCCCCTTTCTGTTTCGCTTTTTGTGGTTGCGCAGATTTCTCGAATGTGTCTACAGTGCTGGTGTTGGCTCGTGCGGCCGCGCTTGTGCAAAATGAGACGGTCGCCCTCGCCCCGCTCAGCAAACCAGGCTCTCTTGCGCAGGGAATGGAAGCTGGCCGTCATCATCATCATCATCACCATCATCATCATTATCAGCACCACCATCATCATAATCGTCGTCGTCGCTGTCATCGTCATCGCCACCGTCTTCACCCTCATCAGCATGTTCATCCGTACGCTGATGGTGATGATGATGACCATCACCAGCATCACAATCATGACCATCATCCTCATCGACATCTTTATCATTACCATCATCATCACCATCATCATCAATACCCCCCGTTGTCCACCGAACCCTTGCTTCATCCTTGTTGCCTTCGGCTTCATTTCACTCGTCGCCACCCTACCCATCAGTATTTCCTCCTCTCCCTGCTCTCATCCTCTTCCCTCACCACCCCATATTCCTCGTCGTACGGTTCGTCGTCCTCTTTTCCCTTTCCTCCACTTCCCTCCCCACCTCCACTCTGCTCCCGTTCCTCCTGTTTGTCCCCCTCCCTCCGTTCCCCAACCCTCGCCTTTGGGAGAAACCCTCATATTTCCTTATCCTTCTCGCTCAATATCTTCTTCCCGCCTTTTCCTCATCTTCCTTATCCCCTCGTCTTTCCCCCGGTCCCTCCTACTTCCCTCTGCTCTTGTGACCTTTATCCTCCTGACATCCTCATTTCTTCCTTCCTTCGCATCCTTCTTAACTGTCTCCCAATCCATTATTTGGTGTTGGGTCCTCGTTTTGAAGAGAGATCGCCGGGCGAGAGGACGCGGGGCGATCATCGCCCCGCGTCCTCCTCCTCGTCCCTCTTCTCTTCTCTTCTGTTTTCTGCCTCCCCCCTCCTCCCCATCCATGCCTTTGCCCTCCGCGTGTCCATTTCGACTCACCCTTCACACGATTTGTGGCCCCACAGGTTCGCATGCGGTTCTTACCCATCCCAGCACACCCATCAAACGTTTCGTAGCCCCAGAAGGAGTTCCACCGAAACCCTCAGGAGAGAGGGTGCCGCATGCGGTTCTAACCCATCTCGGTACCACTTGCACGTTTCGTGGCCCCACAGGGAGCTCGACAGGGAGCTCCATTGGAGCTCCCAGGAAGGGGGTTTCGCATGCGGCTCTAACCCACCCCTCATACATTTGGTGGCCCCACAGGGAGGTCCACCAAAGCCCCAGGAGGGGGGGTCGCATGCAGTTCTTGCCAAATCTGAAACTGTTTCTCACGAATTTCGTGAACCCACATGCAGCTCCACCGAAGCTCCCAGGAGGGGAGGTTCGCATGCGGCTCTTGCCCACTTCGGCGCACGTTCCGCGTCCTCACAGGGAGCTCCACCGGAGCCCCCAGGAGCGGAATTTCGCATGTGCTTCCCAACCAATCCGGGCACATCCCTCAACCATGTCGTGGCCCCACAGGAAGTTCCACAGAAACCCCCAGGGGGGGGAGTCGCATGTGGTTCTTCCCCCAATTTCGGAGCACCTCTCACACGCTTTGTGGCCGCATATGGGGCTCCACCGAAGGCCACAGTGGCACAGCTCACATGCGTGCCCGGGCCCATCTCATTACAAATCCCACGCTTCGTGGCCCCATAGGGAGCCCCACCGAAGGCCACAGTGGCAGGGCTCGCACGCGACCCCATACCCATGTCAGCACCCCTCACACGTTTAGTGGCCCCACAGGTAGCTCTACTGAAGGCGGTACGAGTGCGGTACTCACACGTACATATGGTCGTGCATCTCGCCCGGATAATTGTTCTGCTGCTTTCCACCTTCCGCATCCTCCTCATTCGAAGCCGAGGCTCCTCACCCAAATCCTCGCAGCGCAAGTCCAGATGGAGGGAGAAGTGCGTGGCGGGGAGAGAACGGGCGGCAGGCGCGAGAAGTCGGGGAAGGCGGAGTAGTTGGTGGGATGGGGAGGGGGGGGAGGCGGTCGGACGGATAGGCCAGAGGGGGAGGAGCAGGCGGACGGGGCGGAACGGGAAGGCTGAAGGGGGCAGGGGCAGGGAAGGTGAAGTGATGACGAAGAGGGGGGAGGGGGGGGGGGCGGAGGCGAGGAAGGGGGCAGGAGGGAAGTGGGAGGAAGAGTTGGAGGTGGATGCAGTGGCCAGAGTGGGAGGATGGGAAGGAGGAGAGGTCCACGTGCCTAAGCTCCGATGCGGGATTCCGTGGCCGAGCGTCGGCGTGGACGCAACAGTCTCCAGTAGCCACCACTGGAGGAGGACGGTGGAGGGGAGGATGAAGGATGAGGGTGGAGGCATATGTGTAGTTAGAGGGGGAGGGGGGATGAGGGCGAGAGCAGTGCATGTGAGAGAGAGAGAGAGAGAAACAGAGAGGGATGGAGAAGGGGAGAGAGAGAGAGAGAGGGGGGATGGAGGTAAAGAGGCGTCATCGGCAAATGCATATGCCCGTGCCTGTCCTCAATGTCAGCTCAGAGCTGAGGTTCGCATTGTGTAGGGTCGCTCTCATTGGGGATCGCTTTGTGTGGACATCGGCCAATGTGAGTGCAAGCCTTTCAGGTGGGGTTCGGCTCGCAGAAGAGCTTCAAGTGGCTTGGTCTTGCTCAATGCGCTTCCGATTTGAAAGCCTCCGGCAGCCGCTTCTAGCCCTTTGGTTCCTCATGCGGTGCGAGTTAGTGCGTCATGCTCTGTTCATTGAGAGATCGCCTGCGCCTTTCTTGGTTCCAAGGGTTTGCAGATCGTCAGAGGGGATGTGCCCAAACAGTAGCTTTGCGGAGAGCGGTGGCCTGAGGAAGCTTATCGATGCCATTGCTTTGGGATGTGATGGCCGTCCATGGTGTCCGGCGCGGTCTGGATCGAGCCCTCCATGCAAGTCGCCGTGCGTTGGCGTGGCCTTACATTCGGGCTGACATTGCGAACCGGATTAACAACGCCTTGCCATCCGCAAGTGATCGCGTGCGCTTGTCTGCTTCGTATGAGTCGTGCATCTGTCTTCGGGAAAGGCCCGTTGAGGCTTGGTGGTCTCCCATGGGAACACTTGGATCCCCTATTGAATCTGCGCTCAGTCAATTGATGCCTCTTCAGCAAATGAGTAGCATTTTCAAACTAATTATGCAGCCTGGCAGACCAAGTGGGTCCAGCGGAGATCAGAAGACCACCCTACCGGTGGATCAGCGTCGCGAAGGATCCTGGGCTTCACGATTTGCTCTTGACTTTTGCCCACCATCCTGGAGCATGTGTCGAACGTGTGTGCTGGCAGTTGCGCGCCCCAGAAAGGATGATGTGCATGGCAAAGGACACAGCATCCTTGCCTTTTCTTCTCGCCTCGACCAAAGGACTTCGCTTGCCGCATCTTACAATTTGAACGCCCACGGGCTTTGCATCCTTATTTTGCCGTCTGATCGGCCCGACTTTTATTTGTCCTGACTACACATTGCCTCGTCCTTCGACCGCCCCAATCCGTTCACCCCCGCCTCGCTCTCGCAGGCTTCCCTCGGCCGCACTGCATGTTACCTGAAGGGCGCCGCCCTCTGCCGCCAGCCGCCAGCTCTCCCAGACTGCTTGCATGGCCACGCTTGGTTGGTAGGTTGAATTGTTTTTGTCGGTTGGCTGGCTGGCAACTCGGCCGATGGGGTTGGTGTTAATCTTGATTGTTGGCAAATTATTCGGGCAGTTTGCTGGCTGGCTGGTTGCGCACGTGTGTCATGTTTGAGACGAGATGGTTGCATCGGGAACGCGCTTCCATTCTAAGTTGCGAGGGTCTGCGGCTTCACGAGCGCGCGCGTCTAGCAAGTTTCTAGGATTCGTGGCCTTGGGTTCAGGGCCGAATGTGCGTGAAGCGACGGGGGGAGGTGGGGGGAAACGCGCCCTCCAAAAACATCCAAATTCAGAACAATTGATCGTTGCTCTGCTGGAGAGGGAGTGGCACTGTTGGGCAGCCTCCGCGGCTGGGTCTCCATGCCTCGGGAGCGACAGTCTATCGTGCGTTGAAGGGGGTGGTGGCCCCAGGACGCGCATGTCGCAACTCATGCGGTATTGTGGCCTCGGGGGCGCGAACGCGTAGGTATTTTCCTGGATTGTGGCTTGGGGCTCGCGAGACCGCTAGGACTTACGAGGGGTCATGGTCTCGGAGTCGCGGACGCGCAGTAATCTGCGAGGATGTGTGGCTTCGGGAGCGCGACCGCGCCGCACTTTACAAGCGGTTTTGAATTCTGGGGCGCCTCGGGAGAGTGCGGCCTCGGGAGCGCGAGTGCGCCGTAATTTGCGAGGGGCTGTGTCTTTGGGAACGCGAGCGCGCCATGATCTATGAAGGGGGTGTTGCTTCGGGGGCGCGAACATGATCGCGAGCGTGTCGTATTTTGAAAGAGGCTGTGGTTGCGGGAGTGCGAGCGCGCCGTAAGCTGCAGAGGGTTGCGATTCTGGGTGCGCGAACGTACAGCAATGCAGTAGGGATTGTAAAACAGTCAGCCCGAGTCCTTCGCTATTTTCAGTGACTGTGGCCTCGGTATCGCCAGCGCGCTGGAATTTGGAAGGGGCTGTGATTCCAGGAACTCGAGCGACTGGGATTTACGAGGAAGTGTGGCTTCGGGGACGTTGACCTCTCGTAGTTTCGTAGGCGGTGTGGTCTCGGGGGCGCGAGCGCGCAGTACCTTGCGAGTGGGGGCAGATTCGTGTCCGTTCACATGAGGTTGTGGCCTCGGGGTCGCGAGGCGGTTGCAAGTACCGGGGGATTGTGGCGTCGGGGGCGCGAGCCTGCCTTCCTTTACCGAGGACTGTGGCCCGGGGAGCGCGAGCTCCTCGCAGTGTGGTTGGGAGTGTGGCCTCGGGCCCGCCACCGCGCTGTGAGTTGCCTGGGCTTGTGGCTTCGTGAGCGCGAGTCTGCAGTAGTGTTACGCGTCCCAGGGCCATTGAATGGATCTTGGCGTGGTAATGGGATGTGTTTCTTGCTGGGGTCCTCGCCCGGGCTTCAACTATTACAACAGTGGAGCTATGAACCATACGATACATGCGTGCATGCATCACGGTCTCACAGCAGTGCGTGCATATGATGTTTTTATCCCTCAGACAGTGCACGCATTTAAAAGGTCTGACCTGTGTTCTAAGGAGCTGGGTCTGTCTGCCGTCTGGCGGCTGTGTTACCGCAATCGTTGCGCCGTCGACGACTCGTCGCTTCCCGTGGTCTGGTTCTGTCTAGCGGTCTGGCAGCTATGTTGCCGCCGTCGCCGCCCCGCCGCCGCCTCGTCGCGGCCCGTCGACTGGGCCTGTCTGGCGGTCTGGCGGCTCTGTTGCCGCCGTCGCCTCCCCGTCGCCGCCTCGTCGCGACCTAGATTGCATAACATAGATTGCACATCATATATTGTACCACACACATTGCACCACGTTGATTGCACCACGTAGGTTGCACGCCACATAGATTGCACCACTTGGAGTACACAACCTAGACTGCATAACATATATGGCTCAATATATACTGCACCACGTCGATTGCACCACACATATTGCACAACGTATGTTGCACCACCTATCTGGCACCACGTCGTTTGCACCACATATATTGCACTACATACGTTGCGTACCATTTTATTGCACCACGCATTGCATCTCGCCGATTGCACCATACGTGTTGCTCACCACATAGATGGTACCGCATAAGTTGCATCATACCGATTGTACAACATGTATTTCACATCATACATTGCACCACATGGATTTCGCCATATAGATCGCACCACACTGATTGCTCCGCACCTAATGCCCAATCTGTATTGCACCACATGAATTGCACCACCTAGAGCGCTCCACAGAGATTTTCACATCATGTATTGCCTGAAACGCATTGTTTGGGGTCCACGCCGGCTATCTGAGGTAAGGAAGTGTATGGGTATGGGCGGGTGCCGCCACGTTGCGGGCCTGTGACGCTTCGTGTGCGCCTCGTGGACGCACCGCGCGCGGGGGGGGGGGGGGTCGTTGGGTTTCCGGCGCGTTGCCGCCCGTGGCGCCTTTTCCCGCGCTCGGGCCGCAGGTGTTTTGGCGTCGCCACGGTGCCGCCCGCGCCGCCTCGTGGGCACCTCGCGGACGCAGCACGCTTGGGGGGGGTAGGCTGGGCTTCGCCGCGCTGCCGCGCGTGCTGCCGTCGTGGGCGCCTCGTGCACGCACCACTGGGGAATGTCTGGTCTTCGCCGCGCTGCCGCCCCGCGAGCGCGCTGCTGGGGCCCCGCTGCTCTGAGCTCAGACGACAGCGTTTTCACGGTACAGCTTTCGCTGCCTAAGTGGTGCACGCTGTAGCGTTCATAGTTTACACGGTATAGTGTTCATCACATGGTTGTTTGTAACGCTTAGTTCACACCGCGTAGCTGACTCAGCACATGTTAGATCACATAGCGTACAACACATAGCTGACATCCTATGGGCTTCACCTTCCGCTCACACCGCCTCGCTTACACTACATAGCTTGCACCACATACCTTGCACCGCATAGTTTTTAGCTCCGCCTCTGTTGGCCCCCACAGGGGGCCGGTGGATCTCATGGCCTGTTGTTGCCATGCCCGTGCGTCCGTTCCGGCCTCGTGTCTTGTTGTCGGGATTCCGTTTGGAGGACCAGCCTTTGCCGGCGACTTTCGTGGACGCTAGCGACTCGGCGGACGCCGTGACCTGCATAATGTTCCGATTGCTGGGTTGTCCTATGGCCTTTTCGGTGCACTTCGTTGAGTCCGTACCCCCTTTGCGCCGAGAATCTTCACCGCCTGTGTCGCTCCCAATCGTACTCTCCCTGGTCTCTGAACATCCAGCGTTGCCTCCTCCTTACTGTGCCCGCCCCTGCTTGTCTCTTTTCATCATCGTTTGCGGCTGCGTATTTCCCCTCGCTCTCGTTGAGGTTGTCTTTAGGAGTTCGCATAATGCGCGATAGTGCTGCTGGGCTGGACATACTGAGTGCTCTCAAGTGTGGGTTGTTATGTGATGATGTTGCCATTCATGAGGGCTGGTTGCTTTCTGTTGACATCTCTGGTCTTGTGGGGCACACGGTGGACATCTTCCGTAACCTGTGAATGCATTATTTCCGCGGTTGCGTTCTGGTGATCATCGGTGATTGTTCAAGGCCAGATGGCTTCCGCCACACATGCACTATAGGGGTTTGCGCTGGAGTCAGTCCGCGACGGTGGAGGCTGCCGCTGGCTGCTGTGCTGAGTGGTGTGGCGCTGGTCATGGATGGCGCTGACCTGCTTTCGATGATTATCGTGCCCCTCGTCGCTGTACATTGTTCGTCGTGTATGTAATGGCCTTCGGCTCATCCCGCCACGGTGCCTGGGTTGTGGGTGCGAAGCCTATTGGATGTTCGTTGGGATCTCGTGGGAGGCCTCTCGTGGGCCTCTGGGAGGCAGGTTGGAGGCCTCTTTGGGGCCGAATCGGGGCCTCGTTGGGCTTTCTTTTCGGCTCTTGGGGGCCTCGTGGGGCCTCTTGAGTATTTTGGGGGGCCTCTTGGGGCCTGGGCGCCTCTTGCGGCCTCCCGAGGGCCTCTTGGGGCGGAAGGCTCGGATTTTCGGTTCGTGTGCCCTGTTTTGGGCACCTTTTGGGGCTGTCTTGGGACCTCGTGGGCCGTCTTGGGCGCCTCTTGGGCTGTCTTGGGGCGCTCTTGGGCCGTCTTGGGGCCTTCTTGGAGGCCTCTGGGGCAGTTTATGGGTCGTGTTTGGGGCTTCTTGGGCCGTCTTAGAGCGTCGGAAAGGCGACAAGGCGAGAAAACCAACATCTTTCAACAACCGAAGAAAAATCAATGATGTTTGCCTTTTGGGGCCCTGTTGAGAGGCCTCTTGGAGGCCTCTTGGGACGTCTTGGGGGCATTTTGGGCCGTTGTCTTGCCCGCTTTGGCCCGTGGTGTTACGCGAGAAGCCTCGACAAACCCCCGACAAGCCGCTCCAAGCCCAAGAAGAGTTGGCTATTTGGGGTCTGGGCCCTTTAAGAACTCTGCAGGAGTGAGGACTGAGGCTTCGAGGATTAGGCAGAGGACCTGAGGGCACGCCGACTCCCTGCCTGGCGGCGCGGTGGTGGACATCCCATCTTCGTCGGTATAATCATGAATTTCTGGAGATCTGCACACCTTTTTTGCACTGGCGCTGGACTACCCATCCCCGGCGCGAAGCGCGCCAGGGGGCGGTGCCGGAGGCGCCGCCAGGGAGGCCCAGCGCCGATCCAACATATGCACGCGAGCTCCGAAAGTGCATATTGATCCAGCTGCCTCCGGCCATTCCGCCACCGTGCCATTGCAGCATTTCCGGTGGCAACTGTTTGAGAAGGCAAGGGGGCTTGCTTGGGGCCTCTTGGGGCAAAAGGCTCGACTGCTTTGTTCACGTTCCCGCTCTTGGGCCCTTTTTGGGGCCGTCTCGGGGCCATCTTGGGCAGTCTTGGGCGCCTCTTCGCCCGTTTTGGAGCCCTCTTGGGCCGTCTTGGAGCTCTCTTGGTGGCCTTTTGAGACTTGGGCCGTCTTGGAGTGCTGGAAGCTCGAAAAGGCGAGAAGCCAAAAAGCACAGAAACCTACCGGAAATCAATGTGCTTTGCCTCTCGGGGCCCTCGTGGGGGCCTCTGGGGTTGTGTTCACCCTCGTGTGCCCTTCTGCGGGCCGTCTCGGGGCCCTCCTTGGCCGTCTTGGGGCCCTCTTGAGTGCCTCTTGGGCTGCCTTGGGGCAGTCCTGCTGGCCTCTTGGGTCGGATCGTCCTGGGACGTCGGAAGCTCGAGTAGACGAGAACCCGAAGAACAACACACAAACACATCAAGGACCATCAATGATGGTGGCTTCTCGAGGCCCTTTTGGGACGGCTGTTTGGGGGCTCTCTTGTGACGCCTTGACGGACTCTTGGACCGTCTTGAGGCGAAAGTGGTGGCCAGTGGTGGAGTGATCATGGTTCGTCTTGGACGCATTTGGGCCTCGGGAGCGCGAATCTGCCGCTTTTGCAAGGGATTGTGGCCGCAGGAAGAGGGGTTGGAACAACAGGAACCCTACCAGGCTGCACTTGGCATTCTTGCATGCCCCAACGTGCCATGGGGGCACGGTGGCGGATCTTGTTTTCTGTGTTTCTTTGGTCGTTGTCCTTTCTACCCCACCTGCCGCGCGGTATTCCTGATGCCGAGGTGGGACGGCGAGTCCGTCTGCGGGCTCGACGTGGGGCGCGATCCGGGCCGCAGGACCCAGCGCACGCCTCGAGGGTGGCTGGAGAGGGCAGGGAACTGTGATGCCGTCTTCGCGGACGACCCGCGTCCACAGCGCCGCGTTTCGCGCCTCCCGAGGCGTCGTCGAGCCCTGACCCAGGAACGGCACGGCGAATAGCTGTTGCTGACCCCCAGGGTTTGACAGCTAATTGTGCACCGTACCACTCTGGAGCGCGGCCGTTCAAGGAAGTTCAAAGATGGTACGGTGCATGGGCGCCGTTGTCGGAACGTCGGCGGTGAGGCCGATGGCGATGCGGATGCTGACGATCGACGTAGAACGCAGGGCGGAGGCCATTTGCCAATACCATGGGGGTGTCGGTGGAGGCCAACTGCCAATAGCGTGACTGACAGGTGGATTTTTTCCGGAGGCGGTGCTCGCACGGAAGGGCTCTCACACACGCAGATGTAAGTTCACCATCGTGAAGGAAGGAAGTACCGTCGACGCTCACCTATTTTTCCGAAGTTCTGCGCGGATTCCTCAAATCGGCGCTGAGCCTTCTGGCGGCTCTTGTGGCGTTTCCCTTGGTGCGCTCCGCGTGCCAGGGAGGGGGTGCCAGTGCCGATCCGAGAATTCTGCGCTGATTTCTTTTTTCAATCGTGATGACTGCCCCTATGCAAGAATCGGGTAGTGGCTGGCGATCCTGCTTGCGTTGTGAAGAGAAGCCGTTGGCGACAATGAGGGATGTCGTTGATGCTGGGAGTTATGAGGATCGGGAAGCTGCGTATATCGTATGTTTTCATGACGTCAGGAACTCTGCGATCTGGATCTGCTCGTGGTCCCTCGCTCGCTCCATGCGAGCTCCACAGCTTCCATCGGAGAGCTGCCTCCCGTCCCCGAGAGGAGCGGTGATGTGTGGGGTGCCATGGCAGAGTGCGTGGCAGTCGTCTCGGTCCTCCGAGTCCTCCACCAGGCAGGAAGAGAGAGGCCCGAAGGCCTCTCACCCAGCCTCCTCCACCCTCCACCACCCTCCACCACCCTCTTCCGCCATCCCTCATCCATCCCTACGCCATCCTCCTCCACTCCCACCACCCTCCACTCGGGGGTGGACAGAACCCCCAACAGTGACACGTCGATTAGTGAATTGTCCGTTTTCGGTTCTCGAGAGGGCGTTGTGGCCGTTATTTTCCAGGCTTGCGGCCGCCAGGTTTGGGCCTCAGGTCGTTTTCACTAAACCACGTTTTCCCAAAGGGGGGTCTGTCCACCACCCTCCACCACCCTCCGCCGTCCCTCATCCATCCCTACGCCATCCACCCCCCGCCCTCCCTCCGCCACCCTCCCTCCGCCACCCTCCCTCCGCCGCCCTCCTCCGCCGCCCTTTTCTCCCGGCGAGCGGCCCCCCGATCTCTTGACGAGCGGGTGACCCCGGGAGGGACACGAGTGCCAGAGGCGTCGGGCGGAAAGTGCACTCCCCCGGCGGCCGGCCCGCCGCGACAGAGACAGCGGGACAGAGGTCCGCGGGCAAACGGTTCCAGTAAAATCAGGAGGGAAAAAAACACACAGACACAATTAATCGTCGATTCCCAGAAAATATGGGAAAATATGGGAAGTGGGGGGGAAGACAGAAACCCAGAAAATATAGGAAAATATTGGGAATCTTTTTATTTGTGTGTATTTATTTGTGTGTCCCAGGGCCCCTTCATAAAATAGCTCCTCCCTCACCCGCCCTCCGCCGCCGACGCCGCAGGGCGGCCCCGCCCCCCCCGCGGGAGAGGGCGCGCCCCTCGTGCGCGGAGGCGCCTCGCCTCTCTCGGGCGCGCCGTTCTCCCCGCAGGCGGCCCCGCGCCGGTGTGGCCGCCCGTCCGGCGCGCGAGCGCGCGCTCTTCTGCGGCCCGGGGCTCGGCGGGGGAGCTCGGCGCGCCTGCGGGCGTGATCTCGAGGGCATCGTTTAGCCCATAGCCTACCCATCCCCATCCCCATCCCCATCGCCTTCGCTACCCGTCCCCATCCCCGTCCCCTTCGAGCCCCCCACCAAATTACCCCCCCGGTTGGGGATACACCCCTCGAAGCCCGCTCTTCTGCGGTCGGGGCTCGGCGGGAGAGCTCGGCGCGCCTGCGGGTGTGATCTCTGAAGGCAGATGAGGCAAGTCAGGGCTGGACCTCAGCTCAGAGGAGAACAGGTACCCATACCGCGACCCTTCGCCCGTTTTCCCCCATTTGTCGCCCCCCTGGGAGGTTCTCGTCGCCACCGTTGGATGCGCCTCGAAATTCTGGTCAGAACGCACCCCGGGAGAGGTCCGGGGGGTGGCAGTATCGGTACCTTTTGATCTCCCATAAACGTTGGTCTGCTGGACTTCGGCTGTGTCTTGTTTATCGCTTCGGCACGGAGATACGGGAAAACACATAGAGCAAACCGAAGCACAAGGCGAAAACGAAACGAAAAACGAAGCAATAGGTCCAACCCTGGAGCAAGTCGAGGAAATAACCCTTGCATGATCTCGGTTTGTTTGAACTCCGCGCGGCGCTTCTGGCGCCGCGCCTGGCGCGCGCTCCGCGCGCCGGGGAGGGGGGTCCAGCGACGGTTCAAGCATTCCGCGCAGGCCTCTGAAAGTCTGCGCCCGTGCAGATCTTGTACCTCTAATTAGCAAGACGGCCTGGTAATGATGCGTTCCAGGATCTCCCGGATCTTTCAGAGTTCCTGATGTCCCGCACGTGTTGCAGGAACTTCGAGAGCCGCAGGAAATGCCCGGAGTCCTTCCCAGCCTGGAACACATACCTATCCCTAAGCTGGGCATCTCCTCATCACGATGCCAATCTTCGGGATTCCCTTATTTTTTGAGGGCGCATCCCTAAGATTGTCATCGCCTTTTGGCGTGTCAATCTTAGGGATAGGGATAAGTTCGAGGCTGGTAAGAGTCCTGGAACGCATCCCGAGCCAGCCGCTCCATCTTCGGCCGAAGCAAGCCCGCAGAAGGATTCTCCAGGGTCTCCTCCTCCTCCTCCTCCTCCTCCTCTCCCTCCTCTTCCTCCTCCTCTTCCTCCTCCTCCTCCTCTTCCTCCTCCTCCTCCTCCGCCTCCTCCTCTTCTTCAACCGTCACCATCCTTATTCCTCTTCTTCATCCTCCTCCTCCGTGCAGGAGGGAGAGCTGAGGCAAAGGTTGTTGGCCCTGGGGGGGCCCTCGTCGCCTCGGCTGGACGCAGCTCAGAGAGCTGGTGCGCTTGGACTCTGTGAGGGGAGCCAGGGTCCAGGGGCCCACCCTGAGCTGCCGTTGTCAGAGCTTGCTCCGACCCCACGCAGGAGGGGGAGAGGAGGCGGGGGAGCAATCGTAGCACCCAGTAGTAGCGATTGTTGTAGTGGTAGTTGCAGCAGTCAGGGGTAGAATGTGAAAGGTAGCAACTGGCAGCCAGTTGGTAGTAAGCAAGTCCTCCACCAGTCACCCGTCTCATTCTTATCCCCCCACCTTTCTCGCATGGGTCTCAATCTCAGTCCTCATCCTCCTTCCTCCCACTCTTCTTCCTTGCCATCATCACGTTTCCTCTTGATTCTCTTCTCCCAGCGACGGACGACGACATTCGTGGAGACGACGACGAGGACGGCGGCGACGACGACGGCGACCGACGACGACGACGGCGACCGACGACCGACGACCGACAACCGACGACCGATAACGGACGACAACGAACGACGACGACGACGACGACGACGACGACGACGACGACGACGACCCTGACAACAACAACGACGAACAACCGACAACGCCAACGCTGGCCAGCCGCACGATTGCGGAAGTGCGATCTGGATACGATTTCTGGGGGAACCCGGGAGGCCCAGAAGGGGTTAGAAATTTCGATCCACGAAGCTCGAACCTCGATCTCGGAGGTACCCAGTGGCCCCAGACCAGACGTCAGATGACGACGAATCCCGCACCAGACGTCAGATGACGACGAACAACGGTGACGGCAGACGACGACGACGCCTTCGACCGACCCAGACATCTGACGTCCTGATTTTTTCCATTCATCCTGTTGTGTTGGGTCCTCGTGTTGAAAGGACAGCGCACAGCGTCTCTCCTCTCCTTTCTCCGCCCCCTCTTCCCTCTTGTCCCTGCCTCTGTTTCCCCCACCCCGTACAGCGCTTCGTGGCCCCATAGGGAGCTCCACCGGCGGTGCCCGCATGTTGTTCACCCACCCAGTACAGCGTTTCGTGGCCCCATAGGGAGCTCCACCGAAGGCCTCAGTGGCGGTGCCCGCATGCGGTTCCCCCACACAGTACAGTGCTTCGTTGCCCCAAAAGGAGCTCCACCGAAGGCATCGGTGGCGGTGTCCGCATGCGGTTCCCCCACACAGTACAGCGCTTCGTGGTCCATAGGGAGCTCCACCGAAACCGACACCCACAACTGCGGTACTCACAATTGCATATGGTTGGGTCCTCCGCCAGACTAATTCAATACGGGGTTCCTGGATGTCCCGACCCTTTCGCCAGGTTGGGTTTTTTTTTATCCCGAGGTGTTTGTTCGCAGGCCGCGATCTCGGCTAAACAATTTGCCAAGACGTTGGCACGTCTGGGTACGATGCCGCTGCCCGCCGTCGTTGCCACCGACGGCTATCGAAAAATGAATACTGCATACCCGCAAAGTTTAGGAACTCCGCGCGGCTTCCTGAGAAGAAAATTCGGCCTCCGGATGGGGCTCGAGCGGATGGGGTCGGACTATCGCGCCCCATCGTTGACGCATCGGCGATTATGCTCGATGCGGAGCCCGCTTCCACGTCGATTCGACGTCGCCATTGCATTGCCCATGGCCCATGCAACGGCGATTCGGCGCGTTCATTCGACCCCATCTACTCGGACATCATGTTGGGGGCCTCTAACAAAGAGAAGCACATCTCATCTTTGCTGGTGAGCTCGAGATCGGCGCCATCGCGGGAGTAAAAACAGCACACGACGAAGTATGTACAACGAGGGGGCAGGACGATAATCGGGAGCAGGAACAGGACCGATGGATCGAGGCATCTGGAGGACGGCGAACTGCACACACGTGTTTTTGAGCGCTGCGCGTCTCTCTTGGATCGGCGCTGGACCCTCCTCCCTTGTGCGCGGAGCGTGGCATGGGCGTCGACGGAGGCGCCGCCAGGAGGGCCAGCGTTGATCCGAGAAATCCGCGCGGAGCTCCGAAATTTTATATGTTTCCGCCATGTTCGCTTCCTCTGTCGTCGCCGCCTGCCGTCGGCCTTCGTCCGTCCTCGTCGTCACCGCCACCTCTCGTCGTGGGAAGCGGGTGCTGGACCCCAGGACCAGGGTTTCGTCCCGAGCCGTTCGTTGACCGCCCTGGGGCCGCTCCAGGCCCCAGACGGCCCGAGAGCGGCGAAGGCAGGTGGGAGACCCGCTTCCCGGAGCCGCCGAGTGCGAGAACCTCTGGCGGTGAGCCCAGGAGGGAGGCGAGAGGGGGGGCGGGCCCTGTCAGGAGCCGGCGGGGCTTCTCGGAAGACCCGGCGAGCCTCCTCCGAAGCCACAGAACGCCTTTCCGAGGGCGCGAGGGCTGTGGAGAAGTCCCATCGCCTCTGTGGAGGCCCGCCCCCTCGCACTCTCCCCCCCCTTGCCACTTCTCCCCCCTCGGCGCGCCGCCGAGTCACGCCTTCGGGTCCCAGCTCGGGTCTCCGGCAGCCGCTCGGGACGAGCGGGGCACGCCCAGAGCGGTCTCGGCGCGGCGCAGTCCTGGGAGCGCGCCCGGAGGCCGGGCAGACGCCGAGCACCGACGGGAGCGCCAGAAGCGCGCGAACCGCGAGCCCGAGGCGCAAACTCCGCCCCTGCGCCCGCCGCCGAGAGCCGACGGCGACGGCGCCGCCCGTCGCCCTCGGGGCCCTCCGCCGCCCCCCGGGGCCGTCGGAGAACGGCTCGGGAGGCAGAGCTGGCCCCGGGGCCCAGGACCCGCTGCCGATGAAGGAGCACGGACCCGTTGGCATTCCTCCTCCTCCTCCTCCTCCTCCTCCTCCTCCTCCTCCTCCTCCTCCTCCTCCTCCTCCTCCTCCTCCCTCCCTCCTCCTCCTCCCTCCTCCTCTCCCCCTCCTCCTCCTCCTCCTCCTCCTCCCCCTCCTTCCTCCTCCTCCTCCTCCTCCTCCTCCTCCTCCTCCTCCCCCTCCTCCTCCCTTCTCCCCAGGGCGGCGGCGACGATGCGCACGGACGGTTGGCCGACGGCCAGCGACGGCGGCTGGCTGATGGCGACGACGCCTTCGGCCGCCTTCCCTCGGCAGGACCGCCGCGCAGCCCGGCGCCGTGCTCGCGCTGGGCGCCGGCTTCGCAGCGGCCTGGCGGCCCGTGCGCGCGGGCGACGCGCTGCCCGAGGGGGCGGTGCGCGTCGGCAAGGAGCCGCCCTTCCCGCGCGCCGGCGACGGACAACCGGATGACGGCCATCGTCTTGAGTCGGGCCTGTCCTTCCAGAGGGGGAAGATTCAACAATAGTCCTAACATAGTCTGGGAACGTTATATATATAAATCAAAAATGGATGATTTGTGTATAGTTGTGGGGTATTTGTTGGTATTTCCGTCCGTCCAAAATCCCCCTGTAGGGGGACAGGCCCGACCTGATCATCGTCGGAGGCGACGATAGCTGCGACTATAGCCCATGGGGGGAGCCATCCATATATATATATATATATATATCTATATATACACACATATGTACACATTCTATTTATTTATATATAAATATATATATATATACACCAGCCACGCGCAGAGGGAGGGAGGCTTCTAGTAGAAGGACGCTGCTTCGTGGCAGGTGCGGACCCTTTCTGTAGATGTAAGGCCGGCGCCTTCGAAGAAGCAACCTCCTTGTGCGCGACGCCAATAGCCTTAGGCCGGGCCTGTCCCCCTACAGGGGGATTTGGGACGAAAAATCAAAAATGCTCATCCAATTTTTTCATTCGGCAAAAATACGCAAAATATCGTCCCCAGACTATTTGTTAAAAACTATGTTTGAATTTTCCCTCTGTAGAGGGACAGGCCCGACTTACCAATAGCCCAGGGGGGAGCACTACCTGTATCCAGGGGCGCCGATGGTCCGTGTCTCTGGCGAGGCCCCCCGACGAGCACGCGTAATGCCCACGCCTGGGCTATAATCGCCGCCATCGTCGCCCCTGACATCGGGCATGGGCAGATCTGGGTTCAGTGTCAAGTGGGGCCTGTCCCTCTACAGGGGGAGCATTCAAAGATAGTAAAAAACAGTCTGGGCACGATTTTTTTTTTTTTTTTTTTTTTTTTTCATTTTTGGGACGTTTTTGTGTATTCTCAACTTTTCGCCCAAAATCCCCCTGTAGGGGGAAAGGCCCGACCTCAGTTTAGTGGGACTTGGTTTAGTGATGTATTCGGAAAGCAAAACACTGCGTGAACCTTAACTTTTGGAGCTCCGTGATGATTTCTCGGATGGGCGCCTGTGCCCCCCTGGCGGCGCCTCGGGCGCTGCCCCTGGTGCGCTCCGCGCGCCGCGGGAGTCCAGCGTGGATCCAGGAAGTCTGCGTGGATCTATCGTAAAGTTTTAGTGCTGCATGCCGAGGAGCACCTCCCCGCCTCATTCCGCTGACTGGGATTGCCGTGACCCGAAACACAGGCTACGGCAGGCCTGGCTCGTGTTTCTGGCGTATTTGCTTGGCTTCGGGGCACTATCACAGACCGCCTCGCTTCCCCTTACCAGAGGCCCGGGTTTTTCCCGAGACCAGAGATCTAGGTCTCAGACCGGGCCCGAGCAGATGGGGTCCGAGGATTGCGCCGCATCGCTGATGCATCGGCGATGTGGCCCGATCTGGAGTCCGATTTTCTCCACGCTGACGGCGCAGATGAGTCACCGGTGCATCGCCGGTGCGCACTGTCGATGCGCTGCGATTTTTTGACCCCATCTAGAAGGATTCTAGAGACGGGGGCGACGACTCGCGTCGTGCTGGGGATGGACGGCGGCCCTGGAACAGACGAAGGGAAGGGGCCGATGATTCTGCCCTGGGCAGCCCTGATCGCCACGGCTGGATTCGCTTTGAATTTTTGTTGGTCGGAGCGCATCTCGGGACACGGCACGCACGCCGCGCAGCGCAGCGCATCTTGGGATCCTGGCTCTGCTGTGCTCCTGCTCGCAACGCACACCGCCAGAGGCGGCGGAGAGCTCGAGAGATCCACCTGCCAAAAGCGGCATCGTTTTTTCTCTGGGAGATGGCGGCAGCAGGCGACGGCGAGGGGCGACGGCAGTCGGCGAGCGACGCCGGGCGGCCCACAGCCACGGCGAGCTACGACGACAGCGGGCCACGGCGGACGACAATCGACGGGCGACCGACGACCGACGACCACGATGACGGCACGCTCGGCTTAGGCCGGGCGCGTCCCCCTACAGGCGGATTTTGGGCGAATCATTGAAAATAGGCAAAACTATTCAAACATAAGCACACATGACATGACAAATACAGAAACGTCCCCTGACCATTTGTTGACAATGTCTTAACATGTCTCCTGTAGAGGGACAGGCCCGACTTAACGCTCGGCTCACCGTCGTCGTCGTAGCGTCGTCGCGTAAGAGGTTTCCAGGCGCTTCCAGGGGCCCGTCGCTGCGTCCGGAGGCGTCTCGCAGACGTAGCGGGATGCGCCGTAGGACGGGTCCAAGGGCCGATGCTGACGCGATCTCGGTCCGTCGTCAGTTGCCCGTCGTCTGTCGTCCTCGTTGTCGTCGCCGTGCGCCGCCGCCGTCGAGGGGGACCGTCGGCTCAGGATCGAGATTCGATGGCCGAGTGATCTCGTCGTGGTTGTACGTTCTTACGTGGCCTCGTCGGCCTCGACCAGTTCGCCGTCTGGCTGCACCTCTTCCGTTGAGCTCCGACCCCTGCCCTTAGGTCAGGCAGGTCCCTCTACAGAACGAATCTCCAGAAACAGTTCACAACAAATAGCCTGGGCACCATGCTTTGACTCTTTTCGAGCATGTTGGGAGTCTTTTTTGAGTATTTTTTTCACTGTTCGACCCAAACCCCCCTGTACGGGGACAGGCCCGGCCCGACCCTGCCCGCGACTTCGTCACGCTTTGGGCCCCCCGGCCGCGGACGGAGACCTGCGCGGCCGGAGCCTGCGGGTTGCAGCCGCAGCCCCGTGGCCAGGCCCCGCCGAGCGTCGGCGCGGCCCCGCCTGCTCCGAGCGGGGTCGGGCGCCGACTCTTCTTAGGGAGGCGCGCGTCCCCCCCCCGGGGCCGCTCTGCCCCGCCCCTGCCCTGCGGCGAGCGAGGCGGGGGCAGCGAGAAGGGGCGGGCCTCCTCGGGAGGTCTCGGAGGTCCCCCCGGCCCCGGGAGCAGCCTGCGAAGCCTGCCCCCGGGGGCCACGGGAGACTGCTCGGAGGGCCGGAGGGCTCCCGAGAAGTCCCGCCGCTCTCTGCGGAGGCCTTCTCCTCCTCCTCCTCCTCCTCCTCCTCCTCCTCCAGCCTCCTCTCCTCCTCCTCTCCTCCTCCTCCTCCTCCTCTCCTCCCCCTCCTCCTCCTCCTCCTCCGCCTCCCCCTCCTCCTCCCCGTGAGCCATTCTCCTCCCCCCCCCTCGCTCGCTCGCTCGGGGCCCTCGCTCGCGGGGCCCTCGCTTGCCGCCGACCAGACCGGCGGGCCCATCTTGTGGCTCGCCGCGCCCCTGCGCCGCTCGACGGGCGCGGTGCGCTCGCGGCAGGCCGCGGGCACAGAGCACGCGTGCACGCGTGTCCTGAGGCCACAGCTGGGGCCTCGGGGGGGCGTCCTCGTGGCCACCGCTGAACTCAGGAGGGGGGAAACCACACAGACACAATGAATCGTCGATTCCCTAGAAAATATGGGAAGATATGGGAAGGGGGGGGAAGACAACAGCTCGGAAACACATGTGTGGGAAAATATGGGGCATCCTGTTACTTGTGTCTATTTATTAGTGTGTCCCAGGGCCCCTTCATGAGTGCTCTTCGGGATTCCCGCCAGGATGCGACTCAGGAGGTTGCCTGGGGTTCGCCGTCGTCGGCCTCCTTCGTCACCGCCGTGGTTTGTCAAGGGCTGGAAGAGGAGGGGGAGCAGGAGAGGGCGGAGGGGCGAGGGGAACATGGGCCTGGGGGAGGGGCGTGGGGGGATAGGGAGGGGAGGGGATGGGACGGGGGAGGAGTAGGTGGAGGATTGGAGCTTTTGGAGGAGGAGGGCGAAGAGGAAGGAACAGGAGGAGAAGGAGCAGAAGGCGGGGAAGGAGGACAAGGCGGAGCTGTCGACAGATCAGCGGCGGCAGCTATCTGTGGCGCTCTCTGCGGAGCCTCAATTGGTTGAGCAACGCATGCGTGTCTCCTTGGCTCTGCTAGTTGTGCCACAGCGCATTTTGTTGACGCTGTGAGGCGGGGGCGGGATTCGAACCGGGCCCCCCGGGCCCCCCCCACTTGCGGGTTCGCCGGACGCAAGAGAAGACGGTGGGCGCTGGCGCCGGCGCTGGCGGCGACGACGACGACGACGACGGCAGTGACGGCGGCGACGGCGACGACGACGAATCGCAAGATATTCGACGATGACGACGACAGTAGTAATGATGATGATGGAAATGGTGAAATTGATGATAATGACGACGGTGGGGATAATGATGATGGGGATGATGGTGTTGAGGATAGTGATTATGGCGATGGTGATAATGATGAGGATGCTGGTGACGAAGGGGATGAGAATGAGGATGATGATGAGGACGACGACGATGATGATGATGATTGTGGTGACGATGCCTATGCATATGATGTCGTCGCTTCCCAGAATGAGGATGCAGATGCGGATGATGATGATGCTGGTGATAGTGATGTGGACAATGCTGGTTCGGACGGTGGTCGATGGGGCTTGTGGAGGTGGTGGTGGTGAGGATGATGAGGAGGGTGGCGAAGAGGTTGAGGATGATTGTGGTGAATCTGATGAGACTGGCGATGACGATGACGACGGAGATATAATGACGATGACGATGACGAGGTTTATGATGCTTATGACTCTGGTCATGTTGATGATTGTGCTGGTGCTGTTGATGATGTTGACGAGGCATGGGGTGATGCTGGTGATGATGATCGTGCTGTTAGCAGTGATGATGATGATGATGATGATGATGATGATGATGATGATGATGATGATGATGATGATGATGATGTTTTCGATTATGGTGATGGTGATGACGCTGTCGATGGTGATACTGTGGATGCTATTGAGGATGGGGACGAGGAGGATGATGCTGATGCTCCCGATGATGGCGAGAATGCTCATCATGATGATGCTGCTGATGATGGTGGTCCGACCTGGCCCGCGCGCTGGGGCCCGCGCGCCCCGCCCGGCCCGCCCAAGCAGGCGCTCGCGTGCCGACCCGCCTGTGCATCAGACCCGAGTTGCCCGCACGCCCGACTGCGGGACGGGAAAATGACCACAGCCACTGCTTCCTGTTTTCGGGCCGGGCGAAAGGGGGGGATTGGGAAAGGGGGGGTTACGAAATTTGCTGCATGCAGCTGGTTTCGGCCTCACCGAGGGGCCCATTCCTCGATACATGGGCGCCTCCGGCGCCGGGAGGCGCCGGGAAAATCAGCTACGTGAGCTGATTCTCAAACCCCCCCTTTGCTATCCCCCCCTTTCGCCCGACCCGATGTTTGCGCCGCCTTCCAGCCGGCCGAAAAAGAAGCAGTGGTTGTGGTCATTTCCCGGGTGCCAAGCTTTTACCGAAAGTGACCACAGCCACTGCTCTGTTTCTGCTGGCCGGAAGGCGGCAACAAAAGAACAGCAGTGGCTGTGGTCGTTTTCCCGCCCCTACCGACCCGACGGTTGCGATCGTGACTGCGAGGAGTGACGACGAGGGCAGGCTGAAGTCGGGCCCGTCCCTCTGCAGGAGGAATGTGCAGAAGCGGTCAAAAAATAGTCCGGGGACAATGTTTCTACTGTTTTTGGACATGTGTGGCATATGTTTTGAGTTTTTTATTTTTCGCCCAGAATCCGCCTGTTGGGGGACATGCCCGACTTAAGGGTAGGGATTGTGTTGATGTCGATGACGATGGTAATGGTGGTAATGACGATGATGGCGATGTTGTTGATGATGTCCGTGATTTTGATGCTGATGTTGCCGTCGATGATGATTTGGCTGTTCAGGATGAAGACGAGGATGATGACGATTATGATGGAGTTCGTGCTGGGAATGAGGATGATAGACAGCGGTTGACGATGACGACTGATGATGCGGTTGTGAATAAGGATGACGGTGTTGATGCTGAATATGATGTTGATGATAATAATGGTGCGATCAGGATAGACAGGACGATGATGTTGATGGTGATGATGTCGATAATGTTGCGGAGGATGAGGACTACGATGACGATGGGAGCGACGATGTCGGGGATGCTGTCGATGAGGATGCGAATGCCGATGCTGATTGCGATGCTAAGGAAGATGATGATTATCATGTTGATTGGCGATGACGCTGATGAGGATGTGATGGGGAGGAGGAGGAGGAGGAGGAGGAGGAGGAGGAGTAGGGTGAGGACGATGAAGAGGATGATGAGGATAAGGATGAGGATGACAATGAGGATGTGGATGAGGATGATGATGATGACGCTACTGAATATAATGATGACGATGATGATGATGATGGTGGTGATGATGATGATGATGATGATGATGATGATGAGGTTGATGATGATGATGATGATGATGATGATCAGGAGGGTGAGGGTGAGGATGCGGATGAGGGTTAGGATGGTCCTGATGATGATGGTGATGATGATGAGGATGATAACGATAATGATGACGATGATGATGATGATGATGATGATGATGATGATGATGATGATGATGATGATGATGATGATGAGCATGTCATGGTGGAGGAGGAGGAGAAGGGTGATGTTTTTTCGGCGGCTGATTGGGGGGATCACCCCCCCGCTTGTGCCGGCAGAGCCGCGGCTGCCGCTGACGTTGTCGCCGTCGTCGACATCGTCGTCCTGGGCGTTCTTTGCCGCTGGCGAGTAGGCGTCCTCTGCCGGCGGGGAGACTCGGGCCAGACGAAAGTCAGGAGGGAAACAAACACACAGACACAATTAATCGTCGATTCCCGAGAAGATATGGGAAAATGTGGGAAGTGGGGGGGAAGACGAAGGCCGAGAAAATACATGGGACAATGGGGATTCCTGGGATTAGTGTGTATTAATTTGCGTGTCCCTGTGCCCCATCATAAAGGGTAGGATAGAGAAAATCAGCCACGCTCAGAGGGGGGTAGGTGGAGTGGGGAGGGCTTCTTAGAAGCACCCTCGCTTCTTAGCAGGCGCGGGCCTGATCTCTAGATGTAGGGCCGGCGCCTTCTAAGAAGCAGCCCCCTTCTAAGAAGCCCTCGTACCTCCCCTTTTACCCCCCCTTGCGCGCGCCGCCATGAATGGGGGGTGTCGAAATCTGGTGCCTGCAGCTGGCTTCGGCCCGCCACCAGGCCCATTCCTCGACACGTGGGCGCCTCCTGGCGCTTGGAGGCGCCGAGGGAGCCAGCTGCGTGAGCTGATGTCATACACCACCCGCCCCGAGAGAAGTGGGGGGGTTCAAAACCTCCCGAGGGGGGGGGGGGAGGGGGGAGGGGGGAGTGGTCGAACCCCCCCGCCCCTTGAGGCAGATGAGAGGGCCTCGGGGGAAGAACATGGGGGAAGGAGTCCACCCGGTTTTCCTGGCGCGCCGAATGAGGGGATGGGGAAGACCCCCCGTTTCCGACATGTCGCGGGATGTTTCCCAAGCAAGCGTCCCGAAACGCATTCTCTCATAGATGTGTGACTCCAGGCTTACTCGCCTAAATATGCACGCCAGGCGCATCCTCTTCAAACTTGCCAGGCACGTAGAAAGCCCAAACTTGTATTGTGACCCGTATGCATGGAGAGACGCAAGTGGATATGCTGCGCCGGTGCAGCAGTTGTACCCTATGAGGGGAAGGCGACGCGACACCAACACCAGGGGGCCACCTCCGGCGAGGAGGTCCGCCTTTCCGGGCTGGGGATAGGTTATGTTGCTCCCATCGTACTTAAGGACCACGTCCCAGAAATAATTTCGAGCACCCGGAAAAGTGTCAAAAGAGTGTCGAAGCAGTGTCGAAACAGTGTCGGGCAAGGGTCTCTCAGGGCACGACACGTGAAAACCCTTGAACTGCGGTATTTGTTTTGTGTTCGAAGTTCTTTCTGGTGATCAAGGCTAAAGTAGGTTGGAGCATCATGCGGATAGGGGACGTCTCTAGCGGGGGGGGACCACACCACCAGGGGGACCTTGCCTGGCTCCTCCCGCTGGTGGTCACTGGTGGTGCTGGCGTCCGTTTTCCATGTTCCTAGCTGCTGGTTCCGCAGGGGGGGCCCGCTGCCTCCGCAAGGGGTCGTGCAGATTAGCATCTGCTCTTCCCGTGCCTCCTTGCTCTGCTCTCGCCGCCTCTTCTTCGTTGTGTCGGCCTGTCTGCATGTGCGCTTGCCGGTGTGTCTCTCGTCCACTGTCTGTCGGTCCCTCATTCCCGAACTCGTGTCGACAGTCTGTTCCATAGATCCTTTCTCATGGACATCTCTCTCTCTCTCTCTCTTACCTGTCTGCACCCACTCAGGATGCTTCCGCTGGGGGCTTGTGTGTTGCACGAGCTGGCCAGCGAGGGGAGATGTGCACCCTTTCCCCTTCCACCAACGGCGGGAAGGTGATGGTGCAGGCGCGACCCAGAGCGATGGCCCCGCTTCACTTCACCATCCGTCCCTCCAACTGCCTTCTCCCATGCTTCCCCCCCCCCCCCGGCCTTCCACTCACCTTCCCCCGCTCGGCGCGCCCACCCTTTTGCTCCCCTCCCCCCCTCTCTCGTTCCTCTCCTCCCACCTCAACGGTCCTCTGTCACCTCCCCGTCCCGTTCTCCGCATCCCCAGTTTCCCATCCCCCTCCGTCGCCTTGCCTCTCTCCCTCCGCGGAGTCGATCCTCCTCCTCCTCCTCCTCCTCCTCCTCCCTCCTCCTCCTCCTCCTCCTCCTCCTCCTCCTCCTCTCCTCCTCCCTCCTCCTCCTCCTCCTCCTCCTCCTCCTCCTCCTCCTCCCCCTCCTCCTCCTCCTCCTCCTCCTCCTCCTCCTCCTCCTCCTCCTCCGCCCCCTGCCGGCCTGCCTCCTCTCCCTCCCTCGCTGCCCGCCGGGAGGAGTAGCAGCGGCAGCGGCAGGAGGTGTGGGCAGGTCGGTCGTCAGGCAGGTTCCATAACCCCTGCGCCCGCCTTGCATCTGCTCGCGACCGGTTCGCCCCCGCGACCAGGGCGTGACTCGAAGCATGCAGTAGTGTGGCATGCTCCTCCTCCTCCTCCTCCTCCTCCTCCTCCTCCTCTTCCTCTTCCTCTTCCTCCTCCTCCTCCTCTTCCTTCTCCTCATCGTCCTCCTCCTCCTCCTCAGCCGCCCCTCATGCACAGGCGCGCGGCGTTCTTCCGATATTGGAGCTTATTCACCCGCACTTTTCATGCCACACGTTGCATCCTCCGATGGTTGTCGCTGTTGGCTGCTCTGGTGTATCTGGGGCATGTTTTCTCTGCAGGTGGGAGTCTGCAACCAGCTGCAGGCGTGCACCCTGGAGCGCGTGTCCGACATCGCCACTCGCACATCGCACTTTGATGCCTTGGCTCTGGCGGGCACTCGACAGCGTGCTGCGACGGAGACTTTGATCCATCGCCAGCAGATTGCCTTACATCAGTGGGGCCATCTTGTGTGCGTCAGGGCTCGAGCTAAACGGTGTTTTGGCAATTGCGTGGACCGTTTTCGTTTTGACTTCGTTTTGCAGCAAATGTGGAACGAAGACAGAACTAGGGATGACGAAAGCAAAACGAAAACGGAAGACACCGTTGAGCCCTGCGTGGAGGCCGGTTGCGTGCTCTCACCCTTTGCACGAGTCACTGCGGGCGAGCCGTGCCGTGGGGCCGCAGGGTGAAGCCTGATCACCTGCCCACGTCCGTCGCGCAGCTGCTGCCCCGCACTCTTCACACGGCCGCGGGCTGGTGACGAGGGCCAAAGGAGGAGAAAGAGGAGGAGGAGGAGAAAGAGGAGGAGGAGGAGGAGGAGAAGGAGGAGGAGGAAGAGGAGGAGGAGGAGGAGGAGGAGGAGAGGGAGGAGGAGAGGGAGGAGGAGGACGAGGAGGAGGAGGAGGAGGAGGAGTTCTGGATGTCACCAAGTTGGTGCTGTGCTTCCCTCCGCGTCCTCGCCTGCTCGCAGAGCGCGCCTGCCACGAGGCTTCCTGCGACGCGCCGGTGGGGTGGGCGGCCCAACGAGCTCGCGCAGCTTCCGGCTCGCACCGCGCCCGTTGCGTGCCTGGGCCTGAGCGACGGTTTGGGCATGCGGAGGGTCCCGGATGCGGGCTGGCTCTGCCACGGGCGTGGTGTGGCTCCCGAGGCGGGCGCCGCGCGTGCGCACCGCCCTGGCCCTCAGGAGCTGGAGGCCCTGGCGGCGCGTGGCGTGCAGGCCGCGAAGTGCCTGGAGGGCTGCGGTCCCGCTCCTTGCCCGGCGCAGGGAGGGCGCTCCACGATCGGCTTCCTGTGCGTGCCGAGGGCGCTGTCGGAGGGATGACCTCGGCTCGGCCGTTGCGGCGGCTCGGTCGCGAGCTTCAGGTGGTGCCGCGCCGGCAGATTGTCGACCACATGGCGGTGCACGCGCCCGCGTCCCACATGCTCGCCCCACTGGGGATTCCGGCGCAGCAGCGGCAACGCGTGGGATGGGATCGCGACTCGCTATTGCTTTGTCTCCGCTCGGGTGCTCGTCGGGATGAGTTTTTTCGAATCTCCTTCTATGCCGTCTTGAGAGTGCTGGGCCTTCCTTGGAGGACGTCTTGAGCCTGCCTACTGCAGATCGCTTCTTTGATTCGTGCAATGACCGCTCGTCGCCTCCTCCTCCTCCTCCTCCTCCTCCTCCTCCTCCTCCGCCCCCTGCCGGCCTGCCTCCTCTCCCTCCCTCGCGTGATGGCGGCATTGCGTGTGAACGTTTGGTGCTGTTTGAGGAGCGCCGTCGGCTTCGTCTCGCACTGGGTTGGCACGGGCGAGGAGGGGCAGGAGCGGACTCGGCAGCGTCTTCAGGAAACATCTAAAGCACATCGTCGCCATCGTCGCGGAGCCTCTCGTTGGTGGCAGGAGGCCTTGTCTGAGGAGATTCGTGAATTGTGGTTATGTCGGGCCTGTCCCTCTACAGGGGGAATATTCCAAAACAGACAAAAAAATAGTCAGGGGACGATGTTAAAAACCATGTTTGACCATTTGGGAGTATTTATTTTGTATTTTTTATTTTTCGTCCAAAATCCCCCTGTAGGGGGACATGCCCGACCTAATCGTAGGCGGCAGGAGGCCTTGTTCGAGGAGGCTCGTGAATGACGGGCTGGCCGTCGAGCGGCGGAGGCGGCGAGACTCCCCCTCGGCGAGCTGCGGGCTCTCGAGCAGGAGGGCCGAGGCGGCGCGACCGTCAGGCTGTCCGGGGCACCGCGGGGGCCCTGCGGCCCCGGCGGCCGCGGTTGGTCGAGAGGGGCCCATTCAGGGCCGCCACAATAGCGACTCCTTCCCGCCAGCGGAACTTCAAGAACCCGTGGTCCCGAGGCGTAGCCGACCTGTAAGCCCCTCCTGGGCCATCGACGCAGACATCCAAGACTTCCCGACAGGAGCGAGTAAGTGGATCCACGGCGTGCGCCCACCAGCTCGAGGCAGAGGTACCCCCCCGAGAACGATGGTCACCTCAAGGGCGCCAACAAACAAGCCGTCAACAAATCCAGCCCCCGCACCAAACACTCACGGAAAATGGAAAAGTCCCGCAGTTCCGTCGGGAGCCCGAGACCCTGAAGGCGTCGACACGCGCGTCGCGTGGGATGCAAAGCAAGCCACCAGACCTCCGAAGGAGGGGCCCACTCGGGGCCGCCACGCCGTTTACCAGCCCGGAGGAGGTGATGCCGCACCGCACGCAGGCCCCGGGTAGCGCCACGAAGGTGCTCCTCAGAAACTTCGCGGCGAGGTACGCCGTCAAGATCAAAGGCACGCCAATCCTCCCAGTCCATCAGGCTGTCCGGGGTGCCGTGGGGGACCCTGCGGCCCTGGTGGCTGCGGTTGGTCAGGAGGGGAAGAAACACACAGACGCAATTCATCGTCGATTGGCACCTGTGCCGCTGGGTGCCCTCGTGGCGTCCCAGGGAAACAGGCGGGTTGGCAGCCCGATCGTCACTACGGCTCGACGGGGCTGTGGGAGAGACTCTTGCCCTGTGGTTGGCCAGCCACAGTAGGTGCGGGCCCGCCGTACCACCCCTGAGAGGCCCGATGGGGTTACTCGAAGGGGTCCTCCGACGTGGGGGGCGCGGGAACTTTTGTCCTTGGGCAGCGGGGCCTCCGCTGCTTGAGGCCGGCGGCCAAGTGGGGGTGGTGCCGGTGGCCGTGTCTCGGGGTGGCATCTCGAGGCACCTCGCAACGGCGGCGCGGATAACGCCTGGGGCGGGTCCGTGCCGCCGTTCGTGTTGCGAGGTCCGACTGCATGTGAATTCACGCAGGCACCTTGGGCACCTCCCTTCGGGTTGTGTCGTCCAGGTGTTCTGTCCGGGCAAAAAAAAGATCATCGTCGATTCCCAGGAAAGTATGGGAAAGTATGGGAAGTGGGGGGGGGAGAAGAAAACCCAGAACATCTGGGAATCTATCGTCAAGCGATCGCAAAAATGGATCAAGGGGGCGTGGATTAGCGACGGGTCCCGTTTCCATGGGAAATCGTGGATTTCCGCTGCCGAACGGGGCGGCATTGGCCGCATTTTGGGGAGGGCGCCTCCCTCGATCCATGGATTTGGCGACCGCGCGCCAAATCCATGGATCGCTAATCCATTTTTGCGCGCCCCCGAGGTTGGTCAAGAGTTGAAGAAACACACAACCACAATGAGCCGTCGAGTCCCCAGAACGTATGGGAAAATATAGGAAGTGGCGGGGGATACAAAAACCCAGGAAGTATGGGAAGATACAAGGGGAATCCTGTTACCTGTGTCTATTTATTTGTATGTCCCAGGGCCCCTTGAGGTATAGGGGGCGTTGTCGATCGGGGGCTGGGATCGTTGGCGTGCCTTTTTTATCTTGAAAGCGTACCTTCGGCGTCACCCCAACATACTTATACTATACGTGCGTCGCCCCCTCAGGGGCGACGCGCGCACCGAGAAACCTTATAGTATACGCGTCGTGGCGGGCGTTTTCTGGCCACACCGTTCGGGAAACGATATACTACAAGATGGGTATACTATATGTTCGGGTCGGACGCGCTTCTCCAAGGAGGACACATAGTATTAGTATATCTCTGTGCGTCCCATACCTCGCCGCGTAGTTTCTGAGGAGCACCTTCGTGGCGCTACCCGGGACCTGCGTGCGGTGCGGCATCACCTCTTCCGGGCTGGCAAACGGCGTGGCGGCCCTGAGTGGGCCCCTCCTTTGGAGGTCTGGTGGCTTGCTTTGCATCCCACGCGACGCGTGTGTCGACGCCTTCAAGGTCTCCGGCTCCCGACGGAACTGCGGGACTTTTCCATTTTCAGTGAATGTCTGGTGAAAGGGGCTGGATTTGTTGACGGCTTGCTTGTTGGCGCCCCTGAGGTGGCCATCGTTCTCGGGGGGTACTTCTGCCTCGAGCTGGTGGGCGCACGCCGTGGATCCACTTACTCGCTCCTGTCGGGAAGTCTTGGATGTTTGCGTT